CAACAGCTTCCCCACCCCTTAGAGTAAAATGCAGACTCCTTGCACTGGATGAGCTGGCCCCTATCTGTCTCTCTTTACAACAATCTAGCCACACTTTCTTTCTGTGCTTGAACATGCCAAGTTCATTCCCATCTTAGAGCCTTTACCAGATGATTTCCTTTTCTGGAAACCCTTTTCTGCCATAGCTTTGTGTATGTCTTTCTTCTGTATTTTCAAAGAAAGTAGTGTGTCACCTCTCAGGCTTCCTCTGACCACTCAATCCCTTCACCCCATTTTATTTTTAGTATAGTATTCATCACTGCCTGATAGTTTCTTGTTAATTTATCTCTTGTCTGTCATCCCCCACCAGAATGTTAGTGCCATCAGAGACAGGAATTTTTTCTATCTGATCACCAAGCTATCCCCCATGCCTGGTAGCACACAGGAGAAACTCAGTAAATGTTGAATGAATAAAGTTAACTTTGTCTTTCTTCTCAGCTACTTGCCCTCCTCCCAGGTGAACTTACTATATATGGTCTTTGTCTTTCAGACTGGTCAAGCCCAGAATTCCAGCAGCTTTCAGGAATAACACAGACCTGTGCCACCAAATCCCTGGGAATGGTATGGAGGATGAGAGGGCATATCTGAAGGGAACAGAATCTGCTCCGGGGATGGCATTTGGAGCTTTATCAGGCCAACTGCCGTGTAGTCTAGGGAGGATTCCTGAGCTGAGTTTACCCTTGTGTGTAGGCTCTGCAGGGCTGGCTGGCTGTGCAGGTCCAGGGTCCTCTCTCTGCCTTTCTGAGAATGGCAGCAGCTTCATCTTAGGTCTCTTTCACTTTTATCCTCTTACTTCCTACCTGGGGTGAATTTTCCTTTTTTCCCATTTGAGAGTGACCTTGTAACTGGGCATGGGAAAACATACTCCAAGGGAAGCCTTGCCTCCCACACGACACCAAGTATGAAATACACTGCTCTTCTTTAGGACACAGTGGCCTATTTCTCCTACCCATTCACTTTTGAGGCCTCCTTCCTCCACGAGGATGAGTCTGCTGGTGAGTAGGTCAGCTGTTGATCCAAGGCCATGGTTCTCCTCAGCCGGTGCCCTCTCTTGTGACCTCTCCCGTGACCTGGCTGGTTCTCCCACTTGCTCCCAGAAGCTCTCGTGGAGTGGCCAGTGCTCTACTGTGAGGTCCTCTCGCTGGACTTCTGGAAGAGGTATCGTGTGGAAGGCTACGGGGCTGTGGTGCTGCCTGCCGCCCCAGGTAACCCCTTGTCCCTGCCCTTCCTGTGACCACATGTCCTCAGCCCTGAGAACTAACACTTCCAAAAGATTTGACTGCTTCCGGTGAGCAGTAGAGATAATTAGGAACTAGAAGCAAAGCTTCTGTGTTCCTCTGAAGAATTTTTTTCTCCCTCCATTATAGACAACTCAGTGAAATTGAGAACTAACTACTCAAACTTCCTTCCTGAAGCTGAATGGCCTCAGAGTCTGCACTGTCTGCTTCATGTTTCTGTGATCTGTCATATAGCCTGGAGGGAGAAACTTCATGGCAAAATGGCTCTCTGCATAAGCGTATTAAATGAATCAGCATTCATTCTGAAATAACAGCAACTGAGTTTTATTGGGTGCCAGGCATGTGCTAAGTGCTTCTCATTTAATTCTCCCAGCCACTCTGTAAGGTGGAGGTAGTGCTGTCATTTCCATTTTAGTAGATGAGGAAAATGAGGTTCAGAAAGGCTAAGAAACTTGTCTTAGATACACAGGCAGAGCTGAGATATGAGTTTATGTCTGGTTGATTTCAAAATGAGTGCTCTTAACTACCGTGATAACCTTCACCAGAAACCAGGGCATCACCTAACCAGGTGTAAGGAGCTGTGGTGGTACAGTGATTAAGCACTTGGCTGTTAACTGAGAGGCTGGCTGTTGGAATCCACAGGAGAAAGATGAGACAGTCTGTTTAATAAAGATTACAGCCTTGGAGGCCCTGTGGGGCAGTCCTACTGTGTTCTCTAGCATCACTATGAGTGGGAATCAACTCGGTGGCAGTGGGTTTGGGTTTTTGGTATGCTTGTCCATGCCCTTTCTGGACCTGGCCCCATTCTCCTTTTTCCTTTCATAGGCTCACACACCTTGACAGTCTCCACATGGAGACCTGTGGAGCTGGGCACAAGGGCTGAGCTAAGGAGGTTTTTCATTGGTGGTTCTCTGGAACTTGAGGACCTCTCCTACGCACGGATACCTGGAACCTTTAAGGTGACTTTTGTCTCAGGGGAGACTCCTTGCTGGGAACTTAAGTTCCTGTCTTCTGTTCTATAGCAGGTGGCATCTGGGCTAAGACCCCTTAGTTGCTCATTGTTTCAGTATTCCTTAGCCGTTTCCTTCCTGTAGCTTAAGCTGGAAGTCCTGGCCATATTTTGAACCAGATACAAATATCTATACTATCTTAGGAGATCTCTAGAAAATAGTAGATTTCCTGGGAGCTCTGGTGGCGTAGTGCCTAAGGCATTTGACTGCTAACCAGAAGGCTGGCGGTTCAAACCCACCAGCCACTCCTTGGGAAGGAAGGTTGGGCAATCTACTTCCGTAGTGATACTGCCTAGGAAACCCAAGGAGGGGTCGTTATGAGTCAGATCCGACTGGATGGCAATGGGTTTTTTTTTTTAGAGATTTCCTGTTATCTTTTGTCTGGTAACTGGCGCTTTCTTTCACCCTGTCACTGATGGCTGTAGTATTCAGAGTGGGGGAGGGTTGGCAGGAAGCATGTAGGACAACTTATTCTCAGATGAGGTTGCAGTGTTCCCTGATTTAGAGTTGGGAGCCAGATTTTAGCCTTGAAATGATGGGGTCTGGGTGATGGAATGAAGTTTCCCAAACAAAACTGTTCTCCCCAAGAATGGGAATGAGAATGGAGTGAGCTCAGCATGGTGCCTGAGGCCTAGAGACCCTGGAAACCTAATGCTATCTCAGCTATTCCCATAGGGGGAGCGTCTGAGCCGCTTTGGATTCCGCACAAAGACCACCGGCAGTGTCACCTTCCGCCTCCACTGTCTGCAGCAGTCCAGGTGAGTGGCCCTGGCCCGCTGCCTTGCTGCCCTATACCCTGAGGACTGGGAGCAGCTATGACTGTGTGGTGGGTTCCCCTGCAGGGCCTTCATGGAGTCGAGCTCCCTCCGGAAGAGGATGAGGAGCGTGCTGGACCGTCTGGAAGGATACAGCCAGCAGAGTTCCATTCACAATGTGCTGGGTAGGTTCCTCTTCCTCCCAGGTCAGCACAGGCCATGCTTCTGCCCCTACCATGGCAGCTGACATGTCTCTGCTTCCTTTGCAGAGGCCTTCCATCGAGCCAGGCGCCGCATGCAGGAGGCCCGCGAGAGCCTTCCCCAGGATCTAGTGAGCCCTTCTGGAACCATGGTCTCCTAATGCCCTGCACCTTCAGTCCTCAGGGGTGGAGGAAAAGGCTAGCAACTTCTGAGGCCGATGCTTTCCAGCCTTTGTCTTTCTTACTGGGGACCACATTTACCTGTTGAGAGCCAGGAGAGCTAGGAAGTCCCCAGGCCAGCTTCCCTGCCTAGCCCTCAGCAGGACCTTCTCCCTGCCACGTGGGAATAAACCAGAGACCATGTAACCCCCTCCTTTTCACATCTCAGTTTCTGTAAATGGGCATCACAACAAGGCAAGCTTTGTGGTTGACTAGTGTGAGGTGACCCTATAGCTACTTCTATCCCCAACACAGACTCTCCTATGGCTTGTCTCATAGTCTCTGTAGCAGAGGGCTACAGCTCTTTCCTGCTGTACAAGCTTCTTTGAAAATGGCAGCCCAAGAAAGAAGAAGAAGGTGAGAAGGGCCTGTGAGCCTCTCCCTCTTTACAGAGTAGCCTTGTTCTATGTGGGGTTTGTTGAAGTTTTGAGACACAACTTATTTATGGAATAACTGAGGGCTGAAGGAAGTGCCCACTTCTTTCTGCTAGCTGGGTGATATTTTTAATTGCATATTTTGTACATAAATTTTTTTTTTTTTCTGACTAATGTTCTGTTGAGTGTTTTTCGGCTCAGGTTGCTGGTGTGGCTGAGGTATCTTCCTTAACGTCAGGCTGCAGTGCCTCTGCCATTTCCCTTCTGTGTCTTGTCCTACTTCAGAGTGTTTCTTGTTGCTCTCTTGATTCTGCCCAAAGAGATGCTGGGAGATTAGTGCCAGCTTGTGTCTTAGCAGCACTCTTGAAAACATCTGGAGCAAAGCGTGGGGCAGGCCGTACCTTCCCAGCCCAACAGAAACAGGGCAGCCTCTGCTGTCAGCAGTGCTTTATTGGTAGAAGCAGAGAAACTGCCCAGCCTGTAGCTGAAGAGAATTGTGGGGTGGCTATAGGCTGAGCCGATGTGGTCCTGCAGTCACTGGGGCACAGCCAGGAAATAGAAAAAAGTAGCTGCAAACGCTCTAGATGACTCTTCTTTGACTGGGCCTCAAGGCCTCCTTGCTTGGCACACAGTCCTTGTACCTGGAATGGATTCATAACCTAACAATTAGAGGCTCTTAAGGAGGGTGGGTCCATTGCTACGGGGAGCTCCGGCTGTCATTCCCAACCAAAGAGCTTGTCAGTAGCCAGCAAAAGCATCAGCAGGGTATGGTTGCTCCAGGGGGAGAAGGTGGTGGCCTAGTGGGCTTTCCCAGGCTCTCCTGTCTCCAGGGGTTGGATGCTTGGGATGGACTCCTACAGACAAAGCAGAACTGGGTAAGTGAGGAGCCTAGGGGAAGTGCAGAAGAGGAGCCACTTCAGTGTGGAGTAGCCATTGCTAAGGCTACCTGGACACTTCCTAATCACTCCCCGAAGTCCTAGGCCTTGGGAGCAACTACCAGCCCAGAAGCTAGCACACTGGGAAACCACCAGGACAGAGTACCCTGTCCCTAATGACAAGTCCTATTGTCTTTGCCTAGAAACCTAACAGGCCTCAGCAGTGCTGCCCTGGGAAGGATGTGAGGGCCTGCGCCAGCCCAGGCCTGCTGGTGGAGGGCCTCCCCTTACCTGCAGAGGTCTCATTTGCCTCGCCAGGCTGACAGGTTCAACCTGGGGATGCGGCTGCACCTCACAAAGCCCCGGGGGTAAATGTTGGCCTTGAAGATGTTCCTCGAAACGGTGGTGATGCCGGTATTGTCACACACAATTCGAGACAGAGAAACCCGTTTCAGGGCCCTGCGCTGTCTCTTGGTGAAAACACCCCGTTTCTGCCACCAGAACCTACAGATGTTCAAGAGGTGTGGGTGGAGGTTGAGGAGGAATTAAGTTATAATGAGCACCTGTTGTGTGCCAGGTACTTTATTATTTCATTCAGTTTTCACAAAATTCCTGAAAAATAGGTATTATCTCCATTTTATAAATGGAAGAAATGGGTTCAGAGATTAAGTAAATTGCCCGGTATTAAATGTACAGTATTAAAGTTGCCACGGCTGGATTTGAACCTAAGGTATTGTTGTTAGGTGCCACTGAGTCGGTTCCAACTCATAGTGACCCTGTGCATAACAAAACAGAACACTGTCCAGTCCTTTGCCATCCTTACTATCTTAGCTTAGTGCCCAAAAATACAGAGTTAGGTCTTAAACCACCAGCTTATGAAGGGATACAAATACAGCCTTTTGGTCCTTGTTTTCTGGAATCTGCTACCCTGGAATAACTAGGCTGACAGTTCTGTCTCCTAGGTGCCTAAGAAGGCTGGTCATTCAAACCCCCAGCCACTCGGAAGGAAGACTGGGCAATATACTCCTGTAGAGATACCGCGTCGGAAACCCAAGGAGGGGTCGCTATGAGTCAGAACTGACTTGACGGCAGTGAGTTTTTTTTTTTTTTTTGGTGGGTTTAAAGTGACTGTGGCATAGTCATTATCAGGCTTGCCTGAGTGAATGGTATATCTCCTCTGACCAGACCTTTCAGAGAGCTTCCTGGTCTCAGATCCTATGAACTTGGAAGAAATGAATCTACAAAGACCATTTTTCCCCATTGTTCACTGTTGAAATTCTGGTGTTTTCTGTCATACCTCTCTGGAGCTAATCTCCTTTAGGGTAGGGCCACTTGCTTACCTGTCTCCATCTCGGACTTTTCTAAACTGCTTCTCAAAAATACAGGCTAGAAGAGGCCCCACTCGGGCCCCTGGCAAAAGGGGCTCTGCAATGGCTCCAATCCAGATGTCAATGTTGTCTGGTGTCCCATACAGTTTCAAGAACTGCCTTGCCAAATGATAGTTTTTCAGCACCCGGCTGAGTTGTGCCAAGTTCCGAGGCTGGGAGAGCCCACAGAAGCGCCTCCAAGCATTGTATCCTGCAAGGAGAGGGGGGAGAACAGCTTCAGTCTTGTGCCTGCTGAACACCCCTTAGTTGTGCTTCTCCACAAATTCTTGTGAGAGAATGCCCAGTGGTCAGTCAGTACTGGGCAGGAACAAGATGATCACCAGTGGTGGAAGAGACCATGAACCTTCAAAAGAACGAGCCATTGTCTAATTTCAAATGTACAATCATGCTTCGTGTGCATCAAACTGAGGAGCGTGTCCTAGTATAAAAAGCTGTCATGACCCAAAATTCAAAACCACAAAGCTGACATTTAATGGTATTGTTATTGGGCTCATGGGTGTTAATTAGGAACTAGTGAGTCAGTACCTTGGACATAAAAGGACTCTCAATCAAGGTTTGTAGAATGAATGAGTGAATAAACCAACAAATGAAGAATATGGGATAAAGTTCCTCTGCTCAGAAAAGGATCACATGTTGAATGATTCCATTTACATGAGAGGTCCAGAATAGGCAGATGATGTGGAGACCGACGGTAGATAAAGGGTTGTCTAGGACTGGGGTGGAGAGGGGTGTGGGGAATGACTATTATTATGAGGTTTCTTTAGGGAGTGGTGAAAATGTTCTGATATGGTGATTTTTTGTACAAGTCTGCACATACACTAAAACCACTGAACTGTACACTTCAAACAGGTAGATTTTAGACTATCGCAGTAAAGCTGCTATGCTTTTGTTTGTTTTTTAATTTCATCTACTCAGAACTTCCAAAGACCAATCATACTGACTTCTCAGATATCAGGATCCTACACCAGTGTCAAGCCATGTGATGTGGCCACGACCATCAAAGTAGGAGATAGCTTTCCCATAATCTGAAGAAGCACCAGCCCAATGCTGTTCACTGAACTACAACTCACAAGACACCATCTCCCAGCTGAACATTAGAAAACCATATAATGCATCATTACTGAGCATTGTTGCATGTGTGTCTCTCGGGATCCTCACAACACCTCTGTGGGGTATTTTGTTATCCCCATTTTACCAATGGATATTTGCTGAGGTTGAGCAACTATGACTTTTCCAAGGTCACTCCACTACTAAGTGAAGTTCAAATCAGATATTCCAATTCCAAATTTGGTTTTGGACTTGGGAATGGATTGGAGGAGACCAAAAGAGCTAGTATCAGGATATTTCTAGGATGGCAGGTACTGGGGGAAACAAAACTCACTGTTTTGCAACTTGGGAGGCCAGCAAGTTCAGTTTGCCACCAGGGGGTGCCCATAGCTCCTTAGGAGCACCCAAATGTAGGGAAGGAAGAGACCTCATGTTTACTGAGTGCCTGCTCTGTGTCTGCCAGGTGTCTTTTAGATGCAATAGGAATACCCCCCCCACACACACACACACTCCTTATAAGTGTCCACTCACACACTCCTTATAAGTGTCCACACACACACTCCTTACAAGTGTCCAGAGGTCAGCGGAGGCAGTTGGAGCTTCAGGTTCTACCTGGGAAGTAGGAGGTAGGGAAAAGGAGAGAGAAGAACAAGGCAGACCACGGCCTTCCCCTACAGTGGATTGAACAGGGCAAGAATGGAGAAAATTTGAACTTAAATTTAAATCTTACTATTTCCTAGTTACATATCCTTGGGCAAATTACTAAGTGTCTCTGAGCTAATTTCCTCATTTATAAAAAGGACTGTAATAGCTGCTTCTCAAGGTCATTGGGAAGACCAAATGAGTTAATATTCATGATGTTGTTGTTATTTGCCGTTGAGTCGGCCCCGACTCATAGCGACCCCTCCTTGGGTTTCCGAGGCAGTATCACTACAGAAGTAGGATTGCCCAACCTTCCTTCCGAGGAGTGGCTGGTGGAATATTCATGACAGTACCTAGCAAAGCACCTGGTGCAGAGTAGTTGCTTAAAAAGTGTAATTTTTTTTCTTTCCTGGACTTTTTTGTGTCCTCACCAAACAGCCAATGCCACCTTTAATTTTACTCTCTCTATTCCCTGCCTCTAAGGCTTTTCTTCCCTTAAAACAAGAAGCCAGTTTCTATAAGCCTGGAATTTTAGCCTGCCTCCCTGGAACTTGTCATGGAGTAAAGAATAGGGCAGTTCTTTCCTGTCTTTAAAATCTACTTTTCCCTCCCCCCACTACTTGGAAAGTCCTGATCACCTTTTGCTAACTCCTGTGCCTACATCCAAGAGCTCTGGTGGTGTAGTGCCTAAGGCATATGACTGCTAACCAGAAGGCTGGAGGTTCAAACTCACCAGCCACTCCTCGGAAGGAAGGTTGGGCAATCTACTTCCGTAGTGATACTGCCTCGGAAACCCAAGGAGGGGTCACTATGAGTCGGATCCGACTTGACAGCAGTGAGTTTGGTTTGGTTTGGTGCCCACATCCTAGTCTTATGTTACACTAAAGCTGGATACCCTATAGTGGATGGGGAAAGAGTTGGCAGGACAGGGAACAGGTGTTCCCTGGGAGGGTCTACTGCACCAACCTCAACACATCCTGAACAGTCCCAGTCAGAAAGGAGACACCCACTGAGCAGCCTCAGCCCAAACTAAGCCTGGAAGCAGGAGCTATTGGCTCCCTCACCTGGGAGCCCATGGTCCCGGCTGCGCTGCATGTTGAGAGCCGCCAGATCCAGCCCAATCCTTTTCACTTGCCGAAACAGCCGATCCCGGAGCTCATCCACCATCATGGAATCCTGACGGTTCAGCTTGGCAGGGGTGGCCATGAGGCCTCGGAGAAGGGGGTCGATGCCACCTGGTAGCAAGAGTGTGAGCAGCACCCATTAGACCAGCCTCTGGGAAGCCCACTGAGTCATCTCATGATGCCATGCCGAGCTCACTCAAGAGCCGGACAAGCCAGTTGCTTGTATAGTCTGTGTGTCAGGAAACAGGCCTGGGTGGACATGAAGGGAGATGGAGCTGGGAGAGGAAAAGTCACCCCACCCCCATTTTTTAAAGGAAGAGGAGAATGAAGGCTCACTTCATGTCTTCAACCTGCCAGTCTGACATCAATCTCTCCTTTGTCCCCCTTTTAGAAATCCTCTCATGCTAAGGGGTGGAAGGCCCATGACCGAGGGTATTGGTGTCACCTGCCTCATTTTCACCATCCCAGGGAGATGATTAGCAGTGGCCTGAGCCGCAGCCTGGCCACCTGGTAGACAGCTTGGCTCAGCCAGGGGAAGATGTGACCCCATCCCCCTCCCCATCCCACCCCTTTTGGGTTTTCTGTTTTTGAAAGACGAGGTCACCTTCGTACACGACTCGCCAGCTGGCAAAGAAGGCAGAGCTAAGTGGGATGTGGGAGTTGGGTGCTGAGGCCCGGTACTGGCTGTCCAAGCGGAACAGGAAGGGCTGGAGCATGGTGTGGCCAAAACGAAAGGCCAGAGTGAAGACATTAGCCACACGGGGGTCCACATTGGAGCAATACCCCCAGTAGGGCCCCAGTGTTCTCCTGGCCCGGGCCTTGCCCAGAACCAAGGGCAGAAAGTCTCGGTAGGTAATGATCTGGAAAAGAAGGTGTAAGAGGAACATTATCTTAGTGGCTGCCCAGCCAGCCCTTGTTTGGACAGATCTTTTGCTTTTCAAAGCTGCTCAGACATATTCTTCAATGTCATCAAGTTAAATGTGGCAACATTAATTTCCCATTGGCTGATGGAAATACTGAAGCCGAGAGAGGCTGAATGATATGGACAGTCACACTGTGTGTCCAATTCTGAGCTACAGGGAGAATTGGAGTAGAAGTCAGATTTCAAGTGTACCCCAATCGCCCAGACCCCACTGGCTTTTAGCACATCATCAAGGATATATTAAGGAAGGTGGGAGTCACTCTCTGAGACTGCTGCTTGTCCCAGGTTGTCTTCTGGGGGAAGCTGGGATCCAATGCTCCCTACCTGGACCATGGCCCCCACGATCTTCCGAGCCTCGTTGTACAGCTTGTCTCCACTCCACCTGGGGTTTAGGCGTTCCAGCTCAGTGGCCAGTCGATTGTGCTCTCGCATAAAGAGGGTGTGCATGGCCGCCAGTTTGGGGGTTTCACTGGATCGGGAGTCACCTTGAAAATCCCAAATTTAAAGTCACAGCCCTGCCCAGAGAAATTTCCTTCTGCTAAAAAGGCCTGGCTGCCCAATGGTTAAGCACTTGACTACTAGCCAAGAGGTTGGTGGTTCGGATCCATTGAGAGGCCTCTCCAAAGACAAGCCTGGCAATCTGCTTCCAAAAGGAAAACCCTCAAAGCCCTATGGAACAGTTCTACTCTGCACACATGAGGTCACCAGGAGTTGGAGTCAACCTGACGGCAACTCCCAACAACATGGAGGTGGTAAGCACCTTGCCATGAGAGATTCAAGCAGGCAGAGCTGGCCTCACACAGGAGATCTGAAAAGGGGCTCCTTCCAACTACCTGACTCTGTGATGAGTGTACACCAGTCTAGGCCTGTGGTCTGCCCAATACTGAGGTCTGAAACCATGCACTATCACTGTACCCCACCATGGCTTCCCAACCAGAACCCAGGAACTGGGGTATTCTGGGAAGACACTCTCTTATCCCAAGTCTGACCTGCCAGGAAGCAGGGGATATGCGCAGAGCGGTTGGTGAGGAGACAAGGGTCGTGCTGCAGGTTGTCAAAGGGCAGCAGGTCCCGGCCATTGTCACGGAAGCGTTGGTTGACAGCCAGCAGCCCCAGATAGTTGGTCCTGTTGCGGAGCCGCAGAGCAAGGGAGACCTCACTACCATACACCATGCTGGCATCCAAAAAGGAGGTGAGCGCATTGAGCTGGTTGCGGATTTTGTTCTTATTTTGGGGGCATGCGGGTGCCGAGCGGAAGAAGGGGATACAGTCATGCTGGTTCTTGATGCGAGGGTCATTGGGTGGGATCTGCATGGAAAAGAAGCCTCAACAGCAGGCTCACTCCTGTTCATCCACCACCTGCCTCAAAGCTTTGCTCAAACCCTCCTCCTGCAGGAAGGCTTCCTTGACTCAATCTTGAGTGTCCTTAGCACTTTGTAACTGTCATGAAAGGTTAGAAATGGATTAGGCCTTTGAGATGATCTAGATCCTATTTTACAGATGGGGAAATAGAGGTTCAGAGAGGGAAGGTGACAACTAGTGAGTGGGAGAGGTGGGACTAGAACCTAGTTCTCCTGACATTTCGTCTGTGCTCCTTTAATTTAGTTCAATCTGACAGACATTTGCTAACCACTTTTCTGTGCTGGGTGCTTGGACACTATGCAGGTCAACAAAAACCAGGTTGCAAGAAGCTGGTAGTTCAGTGAAAACAGACATACACATAGAGTTTTGTGACTCTAAATTCAGATGGATTTGCTATGCTTGATATAAATATCAAAAGCTAAACAAAAGTGTAACAGGAAGATCTAGTAAGGCTCCTCAGAAGAGGTGCCCCTGAGCGGGATTTGATGAATGCATAAGATTTTAACAGGGAGACCTCATGTACCATCCATCCCTCACGAACATGGCCCTACTTCTTAAGTGTGAGTATGTATGAGTGTGTGTGTACATCCTCTATCCCCAGCAGAAACTCCCTGGCTTTCTCTTCTTTTTCCCTAGTGGCCACATCACCTTTTCATCCCAGCCTGAAGAATGTGGCCTTCTCACAACTCAATCCCAGGAGTTGGCGGGAACTGCAGGCCCTTGGGCCACCCCCAGGAAGGAGAGAAGGACAAGAGCTAAGAGATCCTAAAGATTTCCAAAAGTAGGAGCCCCAAAACTTCTGCTGGAATCAGACCCAGGTGAAGGTCTGTCTAACTTGCTTCCCCTTCCATGAAGCCTGCACTGAAACTTCTGGTGGATTGCTCCATCCCTGGACCCCCCACCCCAAACACACACAGAACAAGGCATCTGTGCCAAGGTCTCTTGGCACCATAAGTCTTTGGTTACAGAGCGCTGTGCTTCTTCTGTGTCTTATACCCAGCCCCAAGTATATGGAAGGACAGTGCTTCCACCTTTGGGACTTCCTACCCCTAGCTCTCTGCCAAGGGTGGAGGCCACACCTGGGGCCTGGGAGGTTGGCTAGGGTACCTTGATGGGAAAACAGGGGGGCAGCTGGGCACAGGTCTTCTCACAGTCGACACCCCCAGAGAAGGCCACTCGGGCTGGGGAATCTGGGGAGAAATCCAAGTCATGATCGATGAATTGGCCCCACTGCATGAACATGAGGGCCCGGCCCTTGTCGGAGACCAGTCTCTGGCTGGGGAAGCGCACAATCTGATTGGAGACAGCTCGGACCTGGTGGGAAGATAAGGTTAGCACCAGTAGTCAAGGACTCCCCAGCACATGGAGGAAGCAGCTCCCCCTGCTAGAGAGAACGCATAGTCTCTCCTCTCCTACACTACCCTCCCCTTTTCTTTGCCTCTGGAAATGTAGTCATCTCCTGTTGTGGCTGTCATTCTTAGAAGGATAGTCTCTGGCCTAGCTTCTGAAGATTCTGGGAGTTAAGAGAAGGTGAGGTATCAGGTTGGCTGGCCTAGACTTCACCACCTATTTCAGAGAGCTAAGTAGATCAAATTGATAGGCCAATAAATAGACTAAGATAATTCTGTCAAATACATGAAATGATTGATAGGTGATGGATGATAAATGTAATAGAAAATTGAATAGAGAGATGGATGGAAGGAGCAATGGAAGAAAACTAATAAATAGATGTTGATAGGTAGATGATAGATTATTACATTAACATATCAATAACTTGATGACTTGATGGATGTTAAATAGATCAATAGATATGGCTAGATAAAATACATTGGGGGGAAAAAAATAAAACTCACTGCCGTTGAGTCGGATCTGACTCATAGCAACCCCTCCTTGGGTTTTCGAGGCAGTATCTCTATGGAAGCAGATTGCCCAACCTTCCTTCCAAAGAGTGGCTGTTGAGTTTGAACCCCCAGCCTTCTGGTTGGCAGTCAAATGCCTTAGGCACTACGCCACCAGAGCTTCTGATAAGATACATAATTTTTTTTTATATTTAGCAAGATACTTTGACACTGATTCTCTCTGAAATATAATATAATAATACGGTAACAGCTAGCATGAATAGATCAGGTCTTACATAGCTGTTTATACCAAGTGCTTTATTTGATATTCACACCAGCTCCATGAGATAGGTACTATTTTGCTGCCATTTCATAGTTGCAGAAACTGACACTAAGAAAGCTGTATTACTTGCCCAGAGTTGCCTAGCTGGTCAGTGGTAGAGCCTGCATTTGAGCCCTGCCTGGCTAACTCTGGACCAGGTTTAGAAGAGATCAAGCGCCCTACACACACTCAACCCCGACTCACAAGAGGGAGGAGAAAGCCATTGTGTCTCTTTCTGGGGTTCCAGCCGAAGGGGAGCGACAGACCATCCTCATATTGGGCTGGCAGCCAACGGGCCAGGGCCTGGTTGGAGGCCCCCAGCCAGGGTCTCTTCCTGTAGCAAAGTGTGGGCTGAGTTTAGCAGGGCTCAGGGCCTGGGATTGGCTCAGCGTGGAGGAGGGGGCAGGTGGACGGAGGGAGGCTTCCCAGGGTAGATATAGCACCTGACACCACCTACTTATTGTTGCATCTCCCAGTGATGGTGCGGTACTTGTTGCCACACTTCTCAGCATTGTCCTGGACAGCACAGCCACTGGCCTGGGATAGCAGCCGAAACTGGGATTCTGTGAGCACATCTGAGGATAGGGCAGATGGCAGGGTCCTAGGCTGAGTCCCTAGGGCTCTGGCTCCTTGCAGATCTGGCCTGTCCCAAACTTCCATCCCTTCACCCTCTCTCCTCCCAGCACCCCAGGACTCTACACCCTACCACCCCCTCGTGGCTTTCTTCCACTCTGAGCATGCCCCAGGACTTGGTGGGGAGCATAGTACCAGTGACATTGAAGGGCCTGGACCCCTGAGGTTGGAACTTCTTCTCCAGCAGCCCCAAGGCCACATGCATATAGTCGGCAGCCCGGACTACTGTCCGCGTGGCTGCTACTGGCTGCTTGAAGTAGGACAGGAGGTCCATGGGGCTGGCTGAGCCACTGTGAAGGCGCTGCTTGATGCTATGCAGAAAAGGCAGGGTGAGGGATGAAGAAGGGCGACAGATTCACCCAACAGAGCCCCAGCCCAGGGGTGGACAGGCAGGACAGTGTAGATATACAAAGGATGGACCAAGGGGAGGCGTTCTCCAATGTAGGTCCCATGGTGCCCATAGTAGAGTGGTGTTGAAATGGCCTTGGCTGGAGCCCACCCCCTCACAGACTGCATCATGCAGCCCCCAGGCCCAGGCCCACCTCCTCTGTGTCCGATTGTAAGCTGCGTCCACCATCAGCTTGGCCTCTGCGATGCAGTCCTGTATGACTAAAGTATCCACTGCCCTGGGAGAAGCTGTTCAGAGATATGGGGACTGAGGATCCAGGAGAGCCACAGGACCCCCAGACCCAAGCACTTTCCCTTGTATTTCACCCCTTCATACACATACACACACACACACACACATGCACACACTTCAGACCAACCTGTCTCCTTGGCTATCCAAGGGGCTATTACCTGGGGCAGTGCCCTGACAGGGCTGGGGGAGGGCAAGGATAGCCAGAACCCCTGCCAGGGCCATAAGCAGCTTCATCTCTGCAAGGAGACCCCCAGCCACAGCTGAGTCAGTCACCAACACCCACATCCTGCATCTGCTAGTGTCCCAGCCCCCTTCTCTCCCAGAGGCCCCCAAGCTGACCCCTCCTGCTCTTCTCTGGAAGTAGCCTGGAAAGGGACTTTTATACGCCCTCCTAGGGTGGGGGTTGTTGGGGAGCCCCTGAAGTCCTGCCTCTTAAGGTGGAGCCCTGGGACTTCCCTTTAGCTTTCAGAGGAGCTGTGAGAACGTACACCCCCTCCACCCCACTCCTTGCCAGCCTGTGGGCACCCTTCCCTCCATCCCTTACCCTCAGTCTTTGTGACAAGCACAAGGGATGAACAGGAAGAAGTCAATGGACCCTGAGCCTCAACTTCCTCATCAGTGAAATGGGGAGGCTCTGCAATGCAGCCCTGTGTGACTAGGTACCCACTGCCCTGGGGGAGGCTGTTCAGGGGTATGGGGACTGAGGATCCAGGGGAGCAACAGGACCCCAGACCCAAGCACTTCCCCTCTTCAGAGACCAAATAAGAGAATGGGTGTCAAAGTTCTTTGTAAACTGCACTCTGAGGTGCAAATGCCAGTTTACATTCTACTAATGAGCCATGAGGGAGCCCTGGTGACACAGTGGTTAAGCACTCAGCTGCGAACCAAAGGTTGCAATTTGAACCCACCAGCTGTTCCATAGGAGAGAGATGTGGCAGTCTGCTTGTGTAAAGATTTACAACCTTGGAAACCCTATGGGGCAGTTCTACTCAATCCTATAGGGTCACTTTGAGTCGGAATTGACTGATGGCAAGTGGATTTTATAGCATGAGCCATTCTATAAAGGAGTCCCTGGGTAGTGGCATAGTGCTTAAGGCATTTGATTGCTAACCAGAAGGCTGGTGGTTCAAACCCACCAGCCACTCCTCGGAAGAAAGATTGGGCAATCTACTTCGGTAATGATATTGCCTTGGAAACCCAAGGAGGGATCACTGTGAGTTGGATCTGACTCAACAGCAGTGAGTTTTTTTTTTTTTTTACTAGCCGAAAGGTTGGCGGCTCAAACTCATTCAGAGGTGCCTCTGAAGACAATTGCTTCTAGAAGGTCACAGCCTTGAAAAGCATTGGGAACAGTTTTACCCTGCACACGTGGGGTCACCACAACTTGGAATCCTCAGCCCCTCAAGTCCCTCCAACACTCCTCATCTCTCACCCTGGCCTGCTTTTCCTGTCTTTCTCTGGCACCCACCACCTAACAGCCTATAGAATTTATTGATTTGCTATGCATAGTGTTTCTTGTGTCTCCTCCCACTAGAACCTAAGCTCCTCCGGGGTGGGGATCTTCACTGGCAAGCCCACTGATGTATTTCTCCCAGGGCCCAGAGCTGTGCCTAGAACATAGGCATCGGTCAATGAATATTTCTGGATGACCAAGGAGCAGTGTGTCTGCAGAGAGGGTGGGGCCTTGCCAGCCACCAACTGTTGGTCCTTGGAATGTCACTTCTCTTCTTTGGGACTCAGTTTCTCCATTCCTAAAATGGGAGTTGGGCCAGATGATTAGAATGTCTCCTCCCTTCATCCAACAGGGCATTGACCATGTCTGTCTGACTGTTGTATCCTCCCCATTCCCAGCACAGAGCCTGGCATTCAGTAGATGCTAAATAAATGTGTGTTGAGTGATGTCTGATCTACAATTTGGTCCCTCTTCCTCACGCTTCAATCCTACCAGCTCTAAGACTCCAAGGAGAGGGTGGGATCAGGCTGAGGGAGGGCCTGGTAGGGAAATGAAGGAGTCACCTCTTGGGGCCATTTGGGGGATGCAGTGAGATGTTATGGGGAAAGCATCCCCCCATAGCAGATCTCCAGGAAAGCAAAGTCCTGCCTTAGACTTGGTGCTGCTTCAGTGCCTATCAGAGCAGGTTTACTCTAAATCGCGGGTTTAAACTCTGAGCTCCTGTTGTGCTTGCTTAGCCTCTTCTTGAGAGGTGGCTTGCTGCAGTGGGGTCAGACCACCCTGGGTTTGAATCAGCTCTGTCATTAGCTTTTCATCAGCTCTGTCATTAGAAATGAAAAGTTGAGTGAGCCTCCATTTTGCCATCGTAAGTGTAGAACACACCCCAGTCAGTCTTTTCCCAAGAGCCCATGCTCTCTCACACATCCTGGCCTTCCCTCCTGGGGTCTCCACTGTGTGACACCAGTGGAGTATAGCTGATATCCCATGGTCTCCAGCCCCATTCCAGTCTGCCTGGAGAACACATGCACTCTCTCAAGACTCAGCTCCAAGAACCCTTAACACTGTGCAGCCTGCCTGTGGTCATCCTTTTTTCAGGTGAAATCTGAAATCTCCAATCCTTCCTCAGTGGAGACCCTATACCTTCTTCAGACTCAGCAGGGCTTTTTCCAGTGTCCTTGTCTACTTCTCTACATCCCCCACCTCCTACCTAAACCACAAGGTTATGCACAACCCCCTCCTCCCACACCACCACCACCGGCCTCGGCAGTTGCTCTCGAAACAGCCACTTCAGCAACCCCTTTTATTATAAGTTCCAGTTGAAGTCCTGGGCCCTCCTGATCTTATCTCCTTTATCTTCAGCAGAGGCCCCTCTCCTGGGACAGGGGGGCTTGAAATGAAAAGTTGCTGTGTAGTAGCTAAAAGCACACTGGGTTCCTTGCCAGAGACCCATTGTATGACTTTGGATAAATACTAACACCCCCTGAACCTCAGTTTCCAAATCCTATAAAGGAGAGTTTTTTTTTTTTTTTTTTTTTTAAGAAATGTTAGAGTGCTCCCCAAGGAGCCTGGTGGTGCAGTAGTTAAGCGCTCAGCTGCTAAGGAAAGGTCAGCAGTTCAAACCCACCAGCCACTATGCAGGAGAAGATGTGGCACCCTGCTTCTGTAAAGATTACAGCCTTGAAAACCCTATGGAGCAGTTCTACCCTGTCCTACAGGGTCTCTATGAGTCAGAATTGACTCGACAGCAATGGGTTTATGGCTAATGCTCCCTAAATGTGCTTCACCCAGCCCCTGCCCTCAGGAAGCCAGATCCCCCAGTGGTTGGAAGCTGGGTGGGTATGTGTAACCCAGAGTGCTCTTCTTCCAAGGTCCTTGGCATTCAGAGGACTCTATTCTTTAGCAACAGTGAGTTGTGCAAGGGTTTTGCTATAGCTGTGGGATGCCGTGGGTTACTGGCACAAGCCTGAAACAAACCCTGGGCTCTAGACCTATAGCCCTGACAAGTTGGCTGATCTCTCGGGGATCTTAACCTATTGACCACTTGGGGTAGTGGGGAGAGGCAAGCAGAAGGAAGCAAACCACTGAGGGATCCTGGAACAAGGCTGGGCATCATGATCCTGTATACCCAGACTCTAGATGGAGGTCCCTGGGGACAATGGTTGGACCAGCTATTTTGGGTGGGAGTGTGAGTATAGAAGAAGGGCCTGCCACCTGGCTGTCCTGGTCCTGGGGAGCTGGTCTCTGGCTGCCCTTTCAGCCTAACTTCTCCCTCCTCCCACAGGACTCTACCCCTACATTCCAGCCACCCAACCCTTCATATGGGAGCTCTGATAGTGTAGTGCCTAAGGCACTTGACTGCTAACCAGAAGGCTGGTGGTTCAAACCCACCAGCCACTCCTTGGAAGGAAGATGGGGCAATCTACTTCCGTAGTGATACTGCCTCGGAAACCCAAGGAGGGGTCCCTATGAGTTGGGTCCGACTCGACGGCACATAACAACAACAACAACAACCCTTCAAATACAAACCCCACCTTCTGTCTGCTTCCAGACCTCTGGTGATTCTGCAGGAAGCTCCTCCCTCTCCTTCTGGCTCCCTCTGGACAGCTATCTCTGACCCACTCCACAAGCTAGGCAGCCACAGCACTTACTATAGGAAGCTTGTGGAGAGCAGTACATAGGGACTGAGAACTGGGGTGCAGAGTAAGGCTCACTTAGATTCCAATCCAGCACCATCATCCAGTTGGACAGGCTAGTCGACCTTTCAGAGCCCATCTCCTCACTGTCCACAGAGGTCCTTACTACCCTTACCTTTACAAAGTCATTATAGAGTCATTAGGAGAATAAATGTAGAATGCTACCACAGAGTCTTGTATGCAACAGGCATTCAACAGCGTTTATTGAATAAACCTGTTCTGCTGTGTTATTCTCTCCTTTATTGACCTCACTTGGGACCCTCCACAAGGACAGTGATGGACATCAGATGAAGGGGTAAGGGCAAGGAGTTCTAGAGCTTTGCAGAGCATTCAGGGCTCAGCACCTGGAAGGCCTCCAAAGTCAGGATTGTTCAGATCTGGCTCTCTGAGGCCTCCTGACCATGCTGGTACAGCATGCCAGTGCCAGGGCATGCAAATGGAATGAACCACAGCAAGGGAGGGAGAAGACCTCAGGCTCTCCAGCCCAGGCCCCTCCCCACGCACACCAGCTGTGGTCTTCCATGGCAGGCCCATGCCATGTCTGTTTGTCACCCATAGTAGTTTCAGTAGCTAACACAATGCCTGTCAGGGACTCACAAAAAGGGTACATTCTTTGTAACTTTGCCTGGCATGTCCCTCAGGGTGCGGGAACAGGTTTGTGCCTATACATCTGTCAGGACCTGGTATCTTTTGTCAGGGACATTGTTCTCTTTTCACCAGGACATACTGAAACCAAGTAAAGTCAAAACTATTTCCCCCACCCTGGTTAAAACAGATAATTAGAACAGATAGGAATAGATAAGTAAACTTAATTCTCTCAACTATTTCCCCACCCCAGTTAAGACCAAGAGGACTCTGGTTGGAGACAGATGAGTAAATACAATAAGCTCAGTTCCTTAAGAACTGAATGGAACACAAACATTCTTTCCTGCTATTTCCTTAGGCATTAACACGTGATAAACGTGTTAATGTGTCTTAGAAAACAACTTGAAAATGAACTCTGGCCCGTGGACATGGGCAGTGGGACAAAGAAGAGCAAAGTTGCTAGGAACTAACACCCTCCCCTCTGCCTAAGCCCTGATCAGCTGATGACAGGAAGCCGG